AATAAACACCATTGCAAACAGATGACTAACAAAGCAACTTGGTTCCATCAAGATACATAAAAATCACTAACACTGCCTCTCATTTTACTCACCACAAACCAGAGTCAACTTAGGTGGCATCTACTAAATAATTAAGTGCCATCTATCAAACTAGAGCTGACCAACCATAGACCATTTAAATAGCTTATTTGCCTACTATGACTCACAATTGTCGAGAAAAAGTCAATCCGCTTGCATAGGAAGGGGGCTGTGGAGGGGGTGGTCGACACAGGTGCCACTTTTAAAAAAATATATATTTAGGGCGGCATTTTCGGCGAGCTGAAGAGTTTTTTATTTTTTTATTTTTTTTAAACTCAGTGGTAGTGGGTGGCACAACTTTCTAGTTAACATATCGCAACATAACCACTGGTCCGCTCGAAACGTTTCCCAGATCTGCTCATTATGAGGACACGTTACACATCACCCAACGCTTGGACATTGGTCGCTCTCTCAGTCTCTGTTGTTGGTGGAATTCTATTACGTAGCCGAGTCTCTCGCTTTGCACCTTTTTTTGCCCATGCGCCGTTTCCCTGGTCTGGTCTGCTGATTACCAAAGTCATTCTATGATACACTAAAGTAATACGTCGGCATAGCTAGAGCGACGTGGCCTCCACGGCCTTGCCATGTTTCTGTTTAGTAAGGCTGTGGGCAGCAACGCAGTCGCCGCGGCTTACCCGTGCATAGGTTTACTTTAAGCAGATTTCTGATCGTTAATGCTGCATAAACTGTATGGTTTGTGTCCGCTGCGGTGGCCGCGCAAATGAACGTAGGACAAGTAAACCCACAACTCACCATAACACATCCAAACACAGGATTAGTGAACCAACGGACAAGTTAACACGCAGAAAAGTGAATACCGGTATATAGAACATAGACAGCTGAACCCAACCACTGGGTTTGAAAAGGCCTTGCTGAGATAATCGTCATTCTTGACTTGTTCTTGTAAATTTATTTTCACTGCAAATTCGCAATGATTGGTTCCGAAAGATTTCAACTACTTTTATAAATATGTAAATGTTTTTAATGTGCTGAAAATTATTTTTACAAAATTGTGTAAATAACCATTTTTATTATATTTCTTGGGCAGATTTTTGTGCCAAGGAAAAAGTTTAAAATTGGTGGTTCTGTTCTGATTAAGCCAAGCTCTCTAGAGGAATAGTTATTAAACAATACACATAAATAATCTTAAATAAAGGATTTAATTTTAATAATTAAATTAATATTATTACTTTTCTAAAATTCAAATGAAAACAATCAATGTATCTAAATCATCTTCATTACTAGATTTTAAAAAAAAAATGATCTACGAAAATGGCTTAAACTAAAAAAGAAACCAAGAAAGAAAAAAATCTACCCGTCATAAAAGAAATTAATAAAGCAAAACTAAAAAAACTAAAAATAATAAAATTATGAATCTACGAAATAACAAGGACAAAAAACAATTTTAAAAAAATAATTCTCATACTATTATTGTTATCACACCCGGCTCCGAAGCTATTTAATCTGTACGGAGCCACTCCGGGTGCGAATAGTCATTGGCGATTATAGGTAGCCGGGTACCTATAGATGCAGCCAAAAATACGATAGACTTGCAAAACCTGCTAAGTTGCATTAGCATTCACTTTCAATTTCAAACCCTACTAAGTTACCAGCCAATGGCAGTAGTTGTTTTAAACAAAATTTGTGAAAAAGAGCCATAACTATGGGAAGAACTATACTACCCTGACTGATTCCCCTCCTATAAACCGATAAACGAACATGGGTTTCCTTGTAAAAATTTCTGGTGTGGGTGGGTGAATATACATCTGGTGTTGTTTTGCTTATATGTTGTTTTTATTTCATTTATGTATTTTATTTTAATATTATGATTATTGCTATATTTATGTACAGCGCGGTGAGCCCAGCCCTAGGCTGGGGTACCGCGCTATATAAGACCACTTATTATTATTATTATTTTTAAACTCTTTCAAAAGCTGCTAAGAATGTAAACCATTTTCAAAACCTGCTAAGTAATAACTTTATAATGCATTATAAATGCCCATTTAACTATATTTTATGTTAAAAAATATATCATGTACAGCTAATCTTACAACTGGAACAAAAACCAGAATCCTAGGATTAGCGCATCATTGTGTTTTAGAAAAATGTGTTTTTCTCAAAATCAATCTAAAAGTGACTTAGCAGGGTTTGCAATTGGACTCCTCAATTGTTGTTACAATATGGAGCCTCTGCAGATATCCAGTCTAAAAATGGAAACACAGACTTGATATGAGCCTTGAAACATGGCTTTGAAAATGTTACAGAAATCTTGCTTACAGCTAAGGCAGATGCCAATATTCGAAACAAATGTGGGGAAAATGCACTGCTTAGTGCTGCAGAGTCTGGCTGTTCTAAGATAGTGAAGCTCCTCATAGAGGCAGGAGCTGATCCACTTTCCTCGACAAATATGGGAAACACTGGCCTTTCACTGGCAGCCAATAAAGATATTGCAGAGTTGTTTTTAATGGTATTGTAAAAATGGTGTGTTTTGAAAGCTATTTCCCAAGTCTACATTTTCCAAGTATTCAAAAATTTTGTGTTGTAGAATTATGTCTATGGTTTGGCACCTATGACTTGTTGAGATATATTCTTGCAAATTGTTATATTTCTGATAAAGATTTGGCCTACATAAGGCTGAGAGGCAATGGCAGCTCTATATACACCATACCAGAAATATTTACAGTTAACAGAACCCCTGAACTGAATGACATGGACCAATTGATTCAAAAAGCTTCTAGTAAACCCTGGCCTTTGGTCAATCTTGCCTTCATAGCAGTTTCCACAATGATGGACGAGAGCCCTGAAAGAGAAGTTCGCATCGGTAATTCCCAGCTACCTAATCTGCTCAAAGACATGTTGATGTTTCAGACAGAAGTCGCCCGTAAAACAGTGGTCTACACTTCCTGTATGTTTTGAAGCTTAAAAGCCTGTCGTGTTATGTAATTTTGCCTTTTGAAATATTTAAAAATCACTTTCACTTCTTGTTGAAATGTCATTGGCCTATTTCTTATACCAGGTGTGAGTTTAATCCACTGGCCATCATTGAATTTCAATGTTACAATTACATAATGATGAATTTTATATACTTTTAAATTACTCTATACAGTTAAATTATTCATAAGAAGTTTCATACCCTTATTAGTTCCGACACTAGTTCCATGGAGTTAGTTAAGAGTAGTAGAAAAAGTAGAACCAATGTATGTAACTTCTTATGAATCATTTAATTGTATGAAATAATTTAGCCTATTCATAATACAAAAAGGGAAACATTAAAGAATAGTAGGAAATTTCCAACTTATTATTATTATGAATAGACTAAATTAATTAGCGATACTTGCTAACTTTTATACGTGAAAAAAAGAATTGCTATTCCATGGAACTTTTCATGCATTGAAGAGATTTAAGTTACGGTATATAAATTATTTTTTTTATACATTATTACAAAACAATTTTTTTTTAAATTTACATAATTGAAAACTACTTTTGCAGGATGTACAACAAATTATATTATTATAAAAGCATCAACAACATATACAAATTATATATATATAGATTGTATTTATGAATTTAGTATGTCAATAAATGATTTTGAAGTGCACTTTATCCCAGTCTTTTTTTCTCTCAAAGATGTTGGAAATGCACTTTGATCTAGTCTTATTATCTTCAAGATGTTTGAAATGCTCAATGACTTTATGAATGAATTTCTTCTATACAAAATGGGCAGAAGAATGTATTGGTTTTTATCAAAGCTCAGGTTACTTTTATGTGTAAGTGTATGTCATGCTATAAATTGGAATGTGATGATCCAACACTGCAAATATGAACATGGTCAAAATGTTGGTTCCATGACACATTTCATAGACAGACACTTCATTAGTATCCAGTTCCACAAAAGTGGGGCCCTTTCAAGTATGAAGAAAAATGTTATTTCCATTATAATAAATTTAACAAATTCAAAAGTATTATTTAGTTGTGCCAATAATTCCATAGATTTGAAAAGCTTCCTTCACCTGCCTTGAAATGTCTTTCATTATTATACGTAATTTAGGTCTATTTTTTTATTTGTGTAATAAAAGTTTTTAAATAATTTCAAAATCGTTTCTGGTTTTATTATTTTTTATTTCTATAGATTATTAAACACAGTGAATCTGAATTGATTTAACCATTTGAAAATGATATAAAATATGTGATATGAATTTTATTCCGATTTGAAGAGTTTGAAAATGAAAGCCAACGCATGCCTCCTACTGAATATTAGCAGCAGAGATATCAGAAAAGACATAAATTCCTGAAGAAGTAGCAGGTGTTGGAATAATATCTGATGCCTGTAAAAGAATTTTTTTTTTTTTAAATGTCACTTGATTGTATCATAAACATCACAAATTGCAACTACAAGATGACAGCATAGATTTTTTACAGATCCATTGCCTATTTTTTTTACATGGACTGACCCTACCCCCTCAAAGCTAATATAAATTCTAATGTCCCTTGATCCCTATCTGTATATCACTTTTCCATCTCTATAAAGTCTGGCATCCAATCGATGTCTTATCCAGTGCAGCATGACTTTTAAATTATCAAAAACTGTTGGTTCTTTAGCTCAGTACCGGTATTTCACGATAAGGGTACTGGTAGTATACTAGTAGCAAGGCCAGGCTTAGACTTGCTGAGGCACTAAGCTAGTCAAAGAAAAATATATAGCTGGCAGATTGTGATGCTGCAGCTTTTTTAAGTGTGTAACTTGAATGTCAAGTTTAGTAGATGGGAAGTAGTAGTCGGGTGCAGACTTTTACAGTGGGTATTTTGAGTTTTGGGTGTTGAAGGGGGGGGGGGGGGGGAAGAATACATTTCTCATTTACTTTAATGCACACAGTGGGGGAAAAAAGTGCATGCATAGAATCAGTAGAAATATAACCCTTACGCAGCGGTTCTCAACCTGTCAAGTACTGCCACCCCTTAACATTTGCCAAATTGTGGCTACTCACTTAAAAAGTTCATTATTATTTGTCCATGTTTTCCTGATCTCTAAGTCTAAGTTTTATCTTATTTTATTCAAACCCAACCCAAGAATAAACTCATGTTTAAAATTTTGAACTTCAGTTTAATTTAACATTGCAATCAATACATACAGAAATAAAAGTTTTTTGTTTCTCCCTTGCCTGCAAATAACAACAAAAAATAATAATAAGGACACATCTCTTGCATCCCAAGTGTGAGGTGTAATACTGCATAATTAAATGAAATTTAAAATGACAAGGAAATATAACCTGCATGAATTGAGAAACGTGTTATGATGTATTTTAACAATCAATTTTTCAATTAATATGAAAATGGAATACAGTCGTCCCTTGTCACTTCGGGCTTCGTGTTTTTTTCAAATATAACATGTTTCATTAAAAAGATGATCGAGGTAGTGAAAAAGACATAGCGTGTGCTCAGTTGTATGAGTCAATTATACACCCCTGTATTACAATTAAAATTACTGTAGCCTAAGTATGAACTGTAGGCCTATGTATAAGAGCGCCCCCCAGAGGGTCTAATAATGTATTTAGAGGGTCGTGAACAGGTTTTCTATACACTCTTAACTATGAAAATATTTAATTTATAAATAAAGAATCCTACTCTGCAGAAATTCACTTATCATGGTGGAGTCTGACAGTGACAAACGTGGGACGACTGTATTGTAAATTTTTAACTAGTCCCTTTCAGTTCAGCTGTCAAACAAAAAAAGTAACAAAGTATAATTCTTTCCTAAACAATGCTGCATGCAAATATTTTTGGTTACTTACAAAAAATAAATGAACTTTTTATTTCTTCATAAGATGTGTAAATTAAAGTTTAAGACAACTGAAATTTTCAATACAAAATTATATTATTTAAAATCCATAAATATTAAACAAAATGCACCATCAGAATTGCCAAGTAAAAAAAAAAAATTCCTATCTCAAGTTTTAGTATAGGCTAGTGTACCTTTATTTTAGATTGTATTCTATTGTTTGTTATCTTTATATTTTCCCACCAACTCTGTGTTATTTTAAAGTGGGCATGAAAGTCAAGGCTTTATTTATTATTACAGTCCTATTAGTATTAAAAGGGACACAAGCTGTTAAAAAGACAAATGGATAAGAGATGATGTTTGAACTGTGTGTGCATTTATCTCCCATCTTTATTTCATAGTCATCAGCATAAATCATATTAGATTTAAGTTTTTAAGAAATTATCCTGCATTAATTTTTTTTTTTTTTTGAGGACAAATACAAACTCAAACTGTTCTTGACAGCAATGGATCATGATTTTGAAGTAGTTCCATTACCCACACAAGATATTTCTTGCAGTTAAAGTACCGGTATAATCATAATGAGAGAGAAAAACTCAAAAAGTACTGTATACTCTGGCTTCTTTCTCATTGTGAAACTCTGAGGGTCCCATTTATGACAGCAGGCGCCACTAGGTTATGATTTGTGAGTAAAGTGACATGTTACAGCTGTTTCTTGTGCTTGTATTAAATCAGTCGACAACCATACTTGGTTCTGATCCAAACATCTAATATTTACAGTTTAGGACAGTAGAATGCTGTCTCCTTGCAAAAAAATGTTAGCAAAGTTTCTATAATACAAAAAAAATGTACACGAGCCTGTTAAATGACACTCTATTACTATTATACCTGCTAGCATTCAAAAGCAAATTCTAACGATATCTGAATAACTCATAGTTAATAGTCTTTAGTTTCATTTCATCTCCTAACATTTATAAAAATACAAATTCACTTAAAGGGAGTGGGGGGTGTGGAGAAATATGACAACCAGCAGATGGTACAACTGACAGCAAACCAATGTACAAATGCTGTCATCAGTGAGAAATTTGAAGGAACTAATACTAGAATTAAGAGCTATTTTCCCCGCCTTGACCGGCTGTCATCTGTTCTATGCCTTTCCTTGTGAGAACTCCTCATGTCTTGTTTATCTTTGTTGACCCTTGATTTCTTTTTGATGATCCTCCTCTCCTGCACGTCCTCCTCACTGCCTGATGATGACGTCTGATCAGAGCTGCTGGATGACTGTGACCTTCTCCTTTTCCGGCCGGCTTGTGGCGGCCCGCTCTTAGATGACAGGACCTGTTTTTTGGATGACTTCCTCTTGTCATCAGAACTTGTGTCATCACTGGAAGATTCTCGCTTCTTGGGAGCTTTTCTCAGGGGTGACTTCTCCCTTTGGGGCCTTGTGTTCCTCACGTCAGCAAGGCTTTTTTTGGACATATATTTATTCCCTTTGGTGGACCGACTTTCATCTTCGTCTTCACTCGAACTGGTAGCATTCCTTTTCCTGTTTTTCCCAGAATTTTCGTCATCACTTGAGTGACCTCTCTTCATGCGTTTCTCTTCCTGTCTTTTTCTGTCACTCTTGTTATTGAATATCTTTGGTGATTCTTCTCTTCTTTTATTTTTTGAATTGAAATTTTCCTCTGTTTTGATACTTCTATCTACTTTAACACTGTCATGCTTTCTCCTACCATCTTCACTTCTCTTTTCACCTCTCTCCATCTCCCCTCTTTTATTTCTATCAAAGTCTTCCTCTGTCCTCCTATCATTTTGACTCCTTTTACCTCCTCTCCCCACCTCACCTATTTTATTTCTATCAAAGTCTTCCTCTGTCCTCCTATCATCTTGACTCCTTTTACCTCCTCTCCCCACCTCACCTCTTTTATTTCTATCAAAGTCTTCCTCTGTCCTCCTATCATCTTGGCTCCTTTTACCTCCCCTCTCCATCTCACCTCTTTTATTTCTATCAAAGTCTTCCTCTGTCCTCCTACCATCTTGACTCCTTTTACCTCCTCTCTCCATGTCACCTCTTTTATTTCTACCTGATTCTTCCTCTGTCCTGCTTCTATCTCTGCTTGTATCATCTTTTCTTCTAGCATTGCTTTTGCCCTCGCTTCTTTCCTCCTCTCCCCGCCTGTCTGAGCTCCTGTGTCTATCTTTAGCACCTCTGTCTTCATGATCCTCTCTGCTTCTATCGCTGACCCCACCATTGTGAACATTTCCATATTGAGCCATATCTAACAATCTGTCTGCAATGGTTCTTTTGTTTTTCTCAGGTGAGATTTTTTTGCCGTTTATTTGCTTTTGTGATACTCTCTTGCCTTTACCAGAGTTGTTTCCAGACACAGCTGCTGATTTGTCTTTTGATCGATTCTTGGCCTTAGACTTGTTCTTCTCAGGTGACTTTTGTCTTTTTGGGGGAGATTTTTTCTTCTTTTTCGACCGAGTATCAGATTCAGACCCCGATGAGGAACTTTCTGACTCTAAATAGAAATAAAAACAAAGATTAAAAACAATGAAAAGAAAGAGAAAAAAATAATTAACTTTTGTTCAACTAAATTTTTTTTAATGATTTCAAAAGGAATAAAGCAGCTTAAATAACAAAGACATAGTGACCTGTCAGTATGAAATATAAAAACATTGTACTTTGTGTTGAAACATTTTATTAGTTTATACAGCAACCATCTCAATTGCATGTGTACGACCACTCAGTTTAAAATTTAATGTAACATAATTGTGATATATTCATTTAAATCTTAAATCTGAAGGAAAAAAACAAAAAAAGAAAAGAAATTATAAATGTAAAGAATATTTAACCTGAGGAGTCCGAGCTCTGAGATGACTCTGATGATGAGCTTTTCTCTGCTTCAGTTTTCTGTTGCTGAATAAGCTTAGTGGCAACCTTCAAGTGTTCTCTCAGATCATCTCTACAAATTGGATTTTAAAAAATTATTAAAAGGCTGTTGTCCACAAGCAAAGTATTAAAAAGAGGAAAATGTACTTGAAGATTTTAAATTATTTTTTGAAAACAAATTCATTTTTTTTTTCATTCTGGCAGTTTGAAATAATGAATCCATACTCTTACACACTTAAGTCAACTTACGTTAATCCTCCAAGACCAATGGTGGTGAAGAAGTTGATAGAGAACCTGGTGTTCTTTGGGTTGTCTCTTGGCATTACTCCAGCAAAGAATGGAGACAGGGTCCTGTGGTAATAAGACACAATGACAATTAAATTAAATCTATCTCTCATTTATTCTCATACATTAGTTAACACAGATGCTATACATTGTTAACCCACAAACTATCATATGCAAACCCAAAATTAATTTAAAAAATGAATCCAGAGACCCATATAAGTATAGACATTCTAATAGTAATCATGATGAGTGTTGGAAATCTGTGAGGTCTGTTAAATGAATATGACCTTGACCTTTCAAACGTGAGTACAATATTGCTATATATATATTATATTAACTTTGCTTTTGTTAGTGGCTGGCTGGCAAAATCTTCAGACAGCTTATTGACCCACTTCCTGTCAACATGTTGAGCTGAAACTTGGCACATAGAATCATTGCGGATGACAACACATACTATCCAATTTTTTGCCCCCCCCCCCACCCCCAAAAAAAAGTCAGGCACTCTCTACAACCAACCCTTTCAGTATATTGCATATGCTGATGACATATTACTGTTAGTAGTAGGGAAAAGTAGTAAAGACATATCAAAAGCTTTGAATGACTTAGTAGTTGCATCATTACAAGCAGGGCTGGAAGTTAACTACCAAAAAACAAAATACATGTCACAAAAGAACAGGCGGATGAAACCATTAAAATTAGACACAACACTTTTGAAAAAGTAAATCCATTCAAATATCTTTAATAAATGAAAGAAATTAATTACTAACAGAAATAGAAGAAAGAATATCGGTCGGAAACAGGGCATGCTTCAGTAGTCACAAAAACTCAAAGATAACTATAAAGACTAGCTGTAACGTTTTCCAAATAAAGCTTGGAACCTAACAAAAAAAATGAAGAAAACCTATTTAACACAAGGGATAGAAAAGTTCTCCAGAAAATATATGGACCAACTGAGAAAATTAAAGTATCCTATGCTAGTAGCAGAAATAAAAAAGGGCAGGCTTAAAAATAATTCAGAGAATGCTGAATGACACAGGAGTGAAGAGGGTGTATCACCGAAACCTCAGAGGAAAACGGCTGAAAGGCAGACCTAGGCTTAAAAGGATAATGTGAAAAAAGATCTACAGCAACTGGGAATCCAAGCATGGAAATGAAAGCATCCTTATGTCTGAGTGGAAGGAAGTGATGTTGCAGGCCAATGCCCCCCCCCACATGAGCTGTAGTGCCACAGGGAAGGATGTAATGCCTAGTAAATTCATTAGTACCGGTACCTTATTCTCCACTAGTTCCCCCATTAGTACATGAATTGCTACCAGTGCAAGATCCACTATCATAATTAACACTAACACAAGTAATGCCAACTATCTTCAAAATCACTTTCACATAAAATAATTAGGCTTTTATATTTTGCATGGCCAATATCTGAGTTCTACAAGTTAGTTTTAATAACAAAACAGTGGAAAATGCATCACAATTCAAAAAAATAAACTTCTGATTCACATTTATAACATTAATATTAGTAGTAGAGGCCGATTATATTGGCCATAACACTACAAAAGCATCCTTAATGGCTGATGATCAGCCGTTATGACAATTTTTGGGTTAAAAACCCTAATTGGTAGCTGTAAAATTTGAAACCTGCATTTTATGATATATTCTCATATAGGATAATAATTTGTTAAATGAAGACAACATTCAAACAGAAACAAATAAAATTTCAAATGTAATTAAGGCAAGACTTACGGATCTTTGAGTCGTTCATTAAGTTTAAAAAGTCCCATGTATTCAGATAACTCTTGGAAGAGAATCTTTAAAAAGATACGGCTTGCTGATGATGTGTCCTCCTCAGTCAGCTTAACTACACTCAACACCTGCCAATGTTCATGTCATTATAGTTTTATGCTAAGAAAATACATTTACACTCAGTTCAGTTACTATAACTTGGTCATTGAGAAAATTGTTTGATAAAACTAGGATATTATTCATTCTAATAAATCTAAGACTAAGAGGAGAAAATTAGTTCCAAGAACCATTATAGATGTTTATTGTTAAGAAAGGAGTACCAGTATATACCATACAACACAGATAAAAAACAAGGTTTGTTAATAGATTGGTGGTACTAATATAAAAATATAATTAAGAATGCTGTAAACAGTATTTGGACAAAATAAAAACTTCATCTGACATAGGAGTGTTACAATATGTTAGGACAATGCCATCAACAATGTAACTGGAAATTTTAAAAACTAAATTTGACACAGTTTTATTTTCCACCAGGAAATGTTATTTGCCTTGGCCAATTAGTTTTAAATGACACTGCTTTTACTTAAAAATTCAATTTCAATGGTACCATTTTCCTTACATTGACATTGTTTAGATTTTCTAGTTGTTTTAAGCCTACAAAACATATTGTTACGGGTTGGCTAATAAATAAACATTTACTGATTTGAGTGAACTAATTTTGAAATGTCCAGTCTCAAAAACTGAAGCAAGAAAACTTACCCCCCATGAAATGGCATCTGTGTATAGCAAATGGGCAAAAAACTTTGCCACATTTCTAAGTTTGTTGGTCTCCAGGCGATGAATTGTCTCATACTGATCAGTGAAGATTTGTTGGAATGGTTCAATGTACTTTTTGTCAATCTGACAGAAACGCTGTTCTCAACAAGAAAAGATGATACAATTTATTTTACTTAGCAAATTATTCTACATCATGAACGCCTTTTTGGCCTTGAACATTACAGTTTAGTCATTAAATACCAAAATAATCCAGAAAATAAAATCACAAAATCTGCATAAGAATATATTTATTTTAACTAATTCTTGGTCAGTAAATATTTATTATAATTTTTTTTAAAAATCGCATGGTGATATAATAAGGTGTACAGCTAATACAAATAAAGCCTGATAATTTTTTAAAAAAAACGCATGTCAAAGAAAGATCTAATTTGTAGTTTAAAGCTAATCTAGAGCATGTAACCCAATTTGAAGAAATACAAGTAGAGATGGGAAATAGGTTTGGTCAGATGCAGACATCACAATTAAAAACTATCTATTTTTTACAACAATTTTAGAAGTTCCAATGTCATCATTCTATACATACCTGTGCCAGTAAACCAAAGAATTTTTCATAAGTTCTCAGTTGGGCACAGCAATCCAAGATCATGTTACACAACTCAACCTCTTGCCCAGGCTTGAGGTCCATTTTCAACATCTTGTGAGCACACTCGTTATGGTCAAGACTGGACTGGACAGTCAGGTAAATGGTTCTCCTTAGTGCAATAAGGTTAGTTTCTGTTTGATCAATGATTGTCTGCTTTTCTGCATCTGAAATTTTCACACATGGAAAGATCATTGAATGAATATAATAAAAAAGGATAGTCTAGTCTTTGACATTTTTTAATTAAAAGATTTCGATTAGAAAGAAAAGTTTCTTACCCACCATCTCCATGATTAAATAAAATTAACATGTCCGCTTAATTCACTCACTTGCTTTCTCTTCTGCTTCCTCATCCTCCTCACTATCTGAAGACCCTGACTCTGATGACTGGTCAGATTCCTCATCTGAGCTGCCTTCATCAAGGATTTCTAGACAAAATAAATGTCAATTTTAGACTTAAAAAATGTGTCTTAAAGTTCTATCACTGAGCACAGATTTACAGAATGTTCAAATTATTAATTTGGATTCCAAAAGCAATTGCAGTAACATTTGGAACCACTAAAGTAGCTTATGTATGAGTTTCTAAAGCAACATACTTGATTTATAACCTACCTTTCTTTAGTGCTTTATATTTCTCTTCATTTTCTGCAAACAATGGGTCCTCATGGAAAATATCTGTGGATGTAAATATAATAAATGACATGTATATTTGACGAAATACCAACAACACTAGCTCTCTCTTTGTGGCCATATAATTTATATAAAATATTCTAATTGACACTCAGGGTCTTGGTTTATTTTCTTTGTGTTAACTTAACCAGACCTTTGTTTTAAAACTAATCAAATATCAGGAATGTTTCAAACTTGGGCCCTGCTAAAAAAAATAGTCTTTTAAATTTGATGACTACACCTTTTTAAACATTCTAGTTCTGGAGGGGCTAACCCTATGGTCAATTCCCACAAACAAGTGCTAAATGAACCACTGTAACATGGCAAAAATGATTTTGCCAGATAGTTTGTGTTAAAAAAGTAAATAGTATGAAAAATTTAAAAAATTTTTAAATCTCTTTAAAGCAAAACATCAAGAAAATATTTGAGTTGTAATTTTTAAAGACAGCTGACTGATGTCAATAAAAACATGTGTATTTTGTCAATGAAAATATATGGTTATTAAGTCAATGAAAACATACAGGTATTTCAGTTTAGGAGTTATTCATTCAGTTTTGGATTTAAAAACAAAAGCATTAACAGTAGGCCACATACTGAGCATTTCATCTCCTGTAACTGCATCTTCCAACTGCAAGAGATGTGTGAACTGTTCCTCTTCCTCCACAAGGTCTAGTTCAGGTAACACAGCTGCGTGGTCCTAGGTACAAGATCAACAAATACAATTTTTACATCTCATTACATCTAAAGGTTAACAGTCATAATTTGAACACACAAGCAAAGAGTAGTGTTGTATATAGTACAAAATGTGGTTATTTATTCAGAGCCAAAATAGATTTAACAGGCACACACACACTATAATGTTTTTTATTCCCTTAAACTGGGTTTGGTCTACCTTAGCTAAGAAAAGTAAGTCTCATTTATACAGTTTGACTATTTAGTTTAGTCAATATACATCTAAAAACCATCTTGTAAAATGTACTCACCTTAAACCCATCTTTTCTAATAGCAAACATAACCTCCACCATGTACTGAACTCTGACATCCAGCTGACCCTCATGGAGGACATTTCGCAGACGCTCAAAGATTGCTGGGATATGATACATGATAAATATTAGTTGGATGTTAAATTTATATTTAAACTTTTTTAAATCAATGATTAAATTTAAACACATGATTGGAGTAATTGTCTTAAATGTTTACCAAAACCAAACAATCAAAAGCAGTGACAATAAGGTCTCTAAGATTTGAAAAAATTGTTGAAGTCCTAAATGTACATTTTACATTTAAACAGAGATGATCACATCAGATTTTAACATTTTTACCTGTAATTTTTTTTTTTTTTTAATTAGCAAAATCAAAAATTCGTATCACATTTAAAATAAGAATCTTATCAAATTAAACACAATGAGATCATGGGAGCATAGCTGTAAATAAAATCTTAATCTTATTGATTACATTTGTCCATTTATTTAAATGGAGAATACAGTACTAAATTTGTAAGTGCACATTGGCCACAAACCTGTACATAGTAGTATGGTAATTAATGCTATTTTTAGTTTTTAAATCACTTACAATTGATTCCTCTGGGTGAGACCTCGGTTAACTTTTGTCCACATTCTTTGAGGAAACCGATGGCTACTTCTACCGAGTCATCTGTCGGAGTCTCTAACAGCAGAGTGAGAACTTCAAGAGCCAGAACTTCGTGAGCCTGACAAAATATGTTTAAAATAAATACTTCAGAAAAAAGGTTTAAAGTTAAGTTTAAAAGTTGTTAAAAAAATAAATAAAATTATCTCTGTGATAATTAAAAGGCTATCTAAAAATAGCAGATCAAAAGAGATAAAATAAAACAATACAGAATATTTTAGTGAAGCATAACTTGCACATAACATTGTGTTTTCTTTTTTTCCACAAATCACTTTTATTTAAAAATGTTTCACTGTCTCATGTTAAAAAAAAATTATTCAAAATAAACATGTAGAGCATCCATAACAAAACAGGTGACAAGAGATCAGGACACCAAATCTGACAAAGTTAAGATCAAGAAAGGAGGATCTCCTAACTATACCAAGCTGGATCTTAAAGAATCTTAATTGAGTTATGTTTCAGAAACTGTTACAAAATCATCTCAAACTTTAACAATACAAATTTAAGTCATCTTTTTTAGTGGCCCCTAAGTAAAAGTATTAGACAATCAAAAATGAAAATAAATATACATTATTTCAAGGCAAATATTTCTATTATCTGACTAAACTTTTGAATAAATCAATTCTGAGCTGGAAATGTTATTAACTCAAATCACCAACAGGATTAATGTATTGGTGCATAGTAAAATATCATTTCAAGATGAAATGTAAATCACTATCATCTATTTTTATTTTCCCATTCTTCTATTCACCAAGACAGCTGCGTTGTTTAATAATTTAAAATAACTTTCAGATGACACCACAAGTTAGCTAAAGAGTACAAACTACTTTGCACTTTTGCAGTTCAACAAAGAAAATGTAAAAGCGTAACACTCACAAAATATAATAACAAACATTAAACAACATGGTTTTCAATGTGTAAACAATGAGCCAACATGACAGTCAAAAGAGTAAACTCAGAACTTGAAAAAGTTAAGGAAGACAAAAAAAAACTAAGCTACTGAGATTGCCATTACCTGTGAAACAACCTTTTAAGTGACTGACATGGTGATGTAGAAACATCACTTTGATGTAGATACATCTATTTATACAGTATCACTGCAAAACTGGTGAAGGCGTTTCTCTTTGATCACACTGGGCTAGACTTATTACACAATGGTGATGATCCTTAGACACTCGAAAAGACACATGAGATTGCATAGCTCTATTGACTTCTGTTGGTCGGATATCTCATTTGACCAGACTTGAACAGCATGTATAGACTTGAGTTGCCTCTGAAAATGACTTTTCACGGCTGAACGAACCACATACCAGACACATAGTAAATTTTTTTAGCAGAAGAGATCCGTTTTGATCATTCGACTAATGGCCAGTCCAACGGATAAGAGAGAGAGACTCGTCAATCTCCTTTTATTCATCTAGCCTTGGTGTCTAGATGCAGTAATAGTAAAACAGGCCACCATCAGCGATAATATTGAATAGCCTTGCTTTCATAAGTCTAGCCTCTGGTGATCACATGAAGAAAGACATCGAAAACCAGCCATAACTTTGACAAGCCTTATCTCAAGTGATCAGTAATTGATGACCATCCTCGTTTCCAGTGACCAGTCAGGTTAATGACTAGCCTCGTTTCCAGTGACTAGTCAGGGTAATGACTAGTCTCGTTTCCAGTGACCAGTCAGGGTAATGACTAGTCTCGTTTCCAGTGACCAGTCAGGTTAATGACTAGCCTTGTCTCCAGTGACCAGTCAGGTTAATGACTAGCCTCGTTTCCAGTGACCTGTCAGGTTGATGACCAGCCTCATTTCTAGTGACCAGTCAGGTTAATGACCAGCCTTGTCTCCAGTGACCAGTCAGGTTAATGACCAGCCTTGTCTCCAGTGACCAGTCAGGTTAATGACCAGCCTTGTCTCCAGTGACCAGTCAGGTTAATGACCAGCCTCGTTTCTAGTGACCAGTCAGGTTAATGACCAGCCTCGTCTCCAGTGACCAGTCAGGTTAATGACCAGCCTTGTCTCCAGTGACCAGTCAGGTTAATGACCAGCCTCGTTTCTAGTGACCAGTCAGGCTAATGACCAGTCTCATTTCCAGTGACCAGTCAGGATGATGAGCAGCCTGCTCCCCAGTGACCAGTCAGGATAATGACCAGCCTCGTTCCAATGACCAGTCAGGTTAATGACCAGCCTGCTCTCCAGTGACCAGTCAGGATAATGACCAGCCTCGATCCAATGACTCGTCTTCACTGACAAATCTCACCTTCAAGACCGGCCTGGACTTCGCTGACTGGAAATCGACAGGAATCCAAATTTTCCCCATCTCCATTGAGGGGGAGCAAAATAAAGATGCCCTTCATGGGGCACAACTCACCACTTGCTGATTGACCAGATGAGCAATGAATCTGGTGGTTGACAAACACATGCTCTTGTCATTCCTGCGATAGCCTCGTCGGAACATCAGAATAAGACGTCGTAGTATAAGCTCTCCATTTTGAGGAAACTGAAACACAAACGTTATATACAAAGGCATGAAACTGTAAAATGAAATGTTCAAAAATGCAAAATGTAATAGTAATAAAGGCGGTGCTGCAAATAATTTTTATAGACCTTTGGTCTGCATCAGTCAAGTAGCGAATAAGATACAAAATGTATATTTTCCCTTAAAACATTTGTAATAATACCTACCTTGGTATTGATGATGGCCACCAAAGCTGCGTAGACATGGGTAAATGTTGGTGAGGCCGCCTGGGCCTGTATTACTGATCGGGCCAATAGACCACTGGAATAAAAGGTAAGTCATAGAAACAACACCAATGGCAATTATGTAACAACTGATCATTTAGGATAGAAAATTACAAGAGTTTAGCAGCATAAGAATCAAATATTTAAGTTACCAATCTAGATACTTTTACGTAAGTTTTGAACAATGAAGATATTTTGGCAAATATTTTACCCTTCTGCCACCAGCGTAAAAAATCTGCCACAAAATTTGAACACCTTTAAAACACATTGTCACAAATTTGTGACCCCCCCCCCCTCCCCCTTTAATATGTGACATTATTTATTGATGTCTCATTAATTAGGTTTATAAAATAATACACTCATAATTATATATTGAAACAAATAGCCACCAGGACTTGTAAAAACTTGATCTCAAATAAATGGACACAAATCAAAACTTAAGTGATTTGAATTAAGGAAAGAAAGTGTCTGGCATCAGAAAAATGATAGAAAGAAATAGCTTACCGTCCTCTGACAATGTTCTCTTGGAATATCTCTTTAATGATGTTAATAAGGTTGGAAACGTTGACTTTATTGATGAGGCCATTGATGCTCTTCTTCAGGGCTTCCCACGACATACGCTGATAGGCAGCACTGAAGAATCAAGCACAAAAATGTTAGATCTTTAATAAGGGTTAAATTACATCTAAAGATGGGTTCTTCCAGATGGAGATAACCAGTGGTAATAAATATATAATTATAATGCGAATTGAAGCTTCTACTTAAATAGACAGTTAACTGACACAATGACTAATATAATTTCTATGATTGGTGTTATTGTACCAGCCTGACTTTGTACCGGTACATAAATACCTAAAACAATTATTTTAAAAGGCATCTTGCATGCACACATTGGCAAGCTATAATTAGATATCAGAGAACTATAACAAAAAGCATTCAAGTTTCATCAACACACCTTGTTTTGTCTGTTATCTGCTCCTGCATCATCCGCAGCTTGGCTGGAGGGATGTAGGCACCCCCAGTCCTGGTCGTGATGTCCAGATCTGGTTTTTTCTTACCTGTATCCCCTTGGCCCCCTGATGCTTCCTCTGTGCCGGCTACAGCACTATTAGAAATAATTTTAAAAGTTAATGTACATTTGTGTGTCGATTACAATTCAGAAGATTATAGGTTCTCCAATACCTGAGCTGTCAAATGTGATCTGGTAGCAGTGGTGTGATTTGGTTAACGAATTAATTTTGAAACTTTTGTGTGTTGTGCAATGCAAAATATTTTTAATTTACTGCTTTTTTTTAATTAGAATTGGAATTCATGCTGCATATAAATACAGTTGTTACAATTGCTCTACTCTAATTATTTTATTAGTTATTAGTTTAAGATCAAGTGCCCTTTATTACAAGCCAATGAAATATGAGATGCAAGCATCAATGTATTCATTTCTTCAAGCTCCTACAAGTCTGTTATAGTGGACTATACCATCCAGATAGCCAACTAGGTCAGACGGCACGCATGCGCAGAGACTGAAGTGAGAGTGTGTGAATGGACAGAGTGTTCCGGAGACAAGCATAGAGTCAACATTATTGAGAACTTGTATTTTAAGTATATTTATGTTAATGTTTATTTTTGGAAATAAAAACTTATTAAAAAAACATATCAAAGTCATATGTGACTTCCATAATAAGTGACCAGCAGAGAAAACAGAATGTCTGCCACCTTTTCAATACTAAACAAGCTTAAACTTAAGAAACATGTGCATCATCAAACAGTTGGCCTTACCTCTTAGTAATCTCCTTGTCCTCGTCTCTTGTTCTTCTATCCTCCTTCCGGCTATCATCATTCCTACTTCTCCTGTCATCTTCACTTCTATTTCTCCTATCCTCCTCGTTTCTTGGTCGCCTATCTTCCCTTTTATCTCTATCATTTGTAGTCCTCCGATCCTCCCTCCTGTAGTCATCAGCTCTATTTCTCCTGTCATCGTGCCTGTCCTTTCTTTCATGGTCTCTCCTTCTGTCGCTGCGATCGGAGTAGCCATGTCTTTCTTTCCCATCGCCAACTCTTTCCTGGTCTTTTCCACTTCTGTCCACACTCCTACTTGATCTTTCTTTACCTCCAGATTGACTAAGGGCACTTTTTTTGTCATCACCTGTCTTGACCACTGTCACTGAGCTGCCCATTTGAACTCGGGTTTTATCTGCTTCCTCCTCTTCACTTTCACTTTCCAGGATGGGTCTCTGTTTAGAGTTGTACATGTCCATGGCCTCCAAGTCAACAGATTCAACCTTCTCTTGCTTTTCTGATACAGCTGTCTTTGGGTCACCTTTCGGGCCTTTCTCCACAACAATGGATGACACTGGTTTAGACTTCTTTAAAGTTTCCAGTGGCTGTCGGTCTCGACTTTCTTCCTCTGAATGTGTGTTAGGTGAGGGTGGTGTGTGAGGCGAGGGTGGCATTTGAGGTGGTGGGAGTTTGATGGATTTTATGACATCCCGCTGGCGTTGTGAGACATTGGTCGTTGGCCCTTCTTCGCTACTTATGTCTGAGATATCATCACTATAATGAAAAGTAAAAGGAAGAGCATGAACACACTTTTAAAAGAAGCCTTAATCATGTGTTATATAACATTGTTCTATGCATGTCAAAATTCTTATAATAAACAATTTTGCAACCTAATTAGCTTTTCTAAGAAGATGAGAACTGGTATCAGAAATATGTACATACCTTATGGCAATGAGAGGTTTCTCTTGTGTTCTCTCTTCTTCCTCATCAGACAGCTCACCCTCTTCTTTCTCTGCATTCCCTGCGATATCTTCATCAGTATCTTCATGCTTGATGCTTTCACCTCCTCTTTTCTTCCTGTTTTTCTCCGGTGTGTCCCCTTTCTTTTCCTTTACTGCTGTAATGTCCTCGCCGGCCTTATAAACATGTCTCTTGTCATCATCACCTGTTGAGGAGTCCGAATCAGACTCACTTTTTGATTCTATAACAGTTTTCTTTTTAACATCAAAGGTTTTGGAGGAACTTTTTATCACTCGGATGGTTTCTTCCCTGTCTGAATCATCAGAACTAGAATGTGTGTGTTTTTGGTCACCACCTGGTTTTGCTAAATGTTTAATAGCCTTAATGGTTTCAACCCCTGTATCTTTCTTCTTGTTATATTCATCATTTCTTATCTTTCTTTCAACCTGTGCACTTCTCTTATCAGACTCGACCCTCTTTGATCTCTCTTTTTCGTCATCTTTTCTCTTATTTCTATCATCGTATTTACTCTTATCACTTCTTGAGGAAGTGCCATGCCTATCTGAGGTTTGCTTTTTATCTGAATGAAATGGACTCCTTGACCGTCTTCTATCATCCCTCCTGCGACTGTCATCTTTCTGTGATGGGACATGAGAGGACTTTGCAGTTCTGCTGCCTAAAGATTTGTGGGACTTGCTGTTTTGTGAGCTTTCTGACCCACTTGACTCAGATGAATCTGTTGTAATATTATTATATTATATTATATTTTAATGGAACTTATTTATATACATTTTTAAAAAATCAATTATTTATATAAAGATTTGATTTGGGAAGCAAAATATAGAAAAGCAGAATGTGTGATTTAAAGTAAGCAGTGTGTATAAACAGCCATGTAATGGGTTTTATAAAGCTGCTGTCTTCCCCCTCAGAGCCGTGATAATAACACAGCAATTTTTTATTCATTCTTCTCTAATCCATTATCCTAGCAGACAAACAAAATTATTTTTTAATTTAACTATTTGCCCATCAAAAATCCTAAAATTTTAAAATCAAACGCTTATGGCTCAAAATGACCAGTAATTATTTGGTCTACATAGTTAATGATATCTTTGTTTCTTTGTTCAATTATTTAAAATTATTACCGTGGTAACATGCAATTTTTATCCATTTTGGTAGGCCTACATACTACATAGATAGCCCTGTATCTTTAGCTCTCCAATGCAAAATTAAATTTCATGGAGGCCAGGCCTAAATAATGCACAACATATACATGCCTTAAGCATAGGCAGAAAATGAAATTTGTATTCTTTTTAACCTTTCTACCACTTAATACCTAACCAATGCACATTGGGGGAGAGGAGATTACCATTTACAAAAAGAGAAGAATTTTTGTTAGAAATAAACGCTGTAACCTAGATCCCATAAATCATGAAAGATATCATTTTCATCCTGTTTAAGGCATTTGATCCTTGAACAGAAGTTAATAAAGCTATCCACCTTACCTTCTGATGAAGAGGAATCTGAGCTTTCCTCTTTACCCTTGTTTTGTCTTCTGTTTAAAAAAAAAGAATAAAATTATATTATAATAGGCACTTCCGTAATTTCGTTGTCAAAATGTCGACCTCCACTCTTTAATTTACTAAGGGTATCGTTGTTTCCCTTTTTATAGTCGATTATTTGCATAATAATAAATTCTACATTGGCAAATTACTTCAAGCCGACATCTTGCTTGTTCTATTGAGAATTTATTTGATTTTTTTCGTTTGTTGAGGTTATAGCTTTGAAAATTGAAGTTGAAAATAGGTTAACTTCACTGATCAATAACTTTTTTTTCTCAAAAGCAAGAGCTGATTGATTAAAATAAAGTTTTATTTAGTTTATACGGTCATTTATAACATAGCCAAAATTCATGAGTGTAGACCATAGGCAGGCTTCAAAAACAAAAGTGTAAGAAGTAACTTTTTTGGTTATGTAATTTGTAATCATGCCCACCGTGCATGACTGCACATTACCAATAATCGATAGCTGCCGTGGGGTACTTAATAATTCATTAAATTGGTTATCCAGAATATAAATGGGAAATTTAAGTAATAATAAATCATTTTATATTACTAAAAAATGTTTTATAACATAAATAACTATTGTTGGCTTATGAAATGCCAGTGGTTTTTAATTTTGGGTTGGTTGCCATGGATGGACATGGGATTGATAATCACTTGTTTTTGCCTTTGACTCAGTCTTAGACAGGCTTAATAAAAGTGTTATAATAATAATTATACTATTATAAATGATTCAGAGAGTGGGATAAATAGCTTTTGTTACAACTAATATATTTATATTGGTGTATTTTTATATACATATATATGAAGAGTTGATTTTAAAAATTTGGTATCCGCCATTTTTGAAAAAAAAAAGAGAAAACTGTACATTCTTGTAGAGCAAACCAGGTTTCTTTAGGACATGTTAAAGTTTATCTACAAAACAAATTTTATTCCTAGACATCTATATTATTCTATGTCTAAAAATGATTTTATTTTCATAAAGCATTGTGAATTTTTTGTAATTATCAAAATGATGTGTATATTTTCGGACCGATCCGTGTGATTGGCAAGCTAATTCTGCGGCATTCTGCGCATTAAACATCACGAAGCGGAAAAACATGTTGGATAACGACGGCCTGGATGAAAGAGTTGTTTGTACTATAAAATCTCGAAAAAGAAAGAAAAAAAGCTCAAAACGAGAAAAATAAAAATCATTTCGTCATTCAAGCGGAGGAAAGATACCCTCCCGTTACGTGTAATCACAATAAAAGGTTCTGCAAGGTGAGTTACCGGTAACTTTATTAAATAACCACTAAAGTTCATTTTACATTATTATGGTCATGGTTACTACACATCAGAAGTTTTAAGGAAATGAAAATAAAAAGTTGCTTTACAGAGTTAGCTGTGTTATTTATTACACATTCAATCTTTCACATGCAGAGCAAGTCATTACAGAAGAAAGGGTGCTCAAGGACAGAACTATTTGCCCTCTGATTTGAATGTAAATAAGAAGCATCAACTTTTCCTGGAACAAAACCAAACTGCTATTGAAGATGCAGCACACTCTGCTGAATCAGAAAACTTCATTATTTTCTCTTTTTTTGTTGTTCTAAATCCTAATAAAATGATTTGTGAATTGAACATTATCTTGTTTACTTTTGTTTAGAATTCAGAGTTATAAAAACAAATCATGCAAACTTACAGCACTCTAAACATGACACTATTACAAGCGACTTTCCAGCATTTATAATACTGTTCTGTTAACATATATCAATAAAAAACATTAATCATACACAATTATATAATGTATATGATACAATTTATTTATTTTGTTATGTAAGTGGTTTATGTAAGTGGTTTGTAATCTATAAACAAACTGAATTATTTGCTAATGGGAATAATTTTATGCTATCAAAATGGATATAAAGCATTTTGTCGCTAAGTAAAAGCTGGATACAAGGCATTTTGAAACGAAATAGGAAATTGAACCAAGTAAATAAATACATTTTAATTAACCTATATTTCAATTTCATCATTATCTAACTTATATTTTGAATATATACCAAAATTAACATTTACTTTTCCAAAAATTTGAGCCATCATTTTGTAGCAGAAAAAGTCGAATATCTCGAAACACCAAAAATGGAGAAATAGCATTTTGAAAATCAACTCTTCATATATAAGTATATATTTTTATAATGCCTATAACTATAGGTCTAGTATAGATATAGTATTTACACAATATACTATACTAGAATAAATAACTCAATGTTATCGGGATAATAATGGTAGGTCCTTTGCGATAATTTCTAACTGCTATTGCAAAAACTCACCCCAATTCATAACTTTAAAAATGTAATGATATTTACTTTTCTAACATCATTAAGTTTGAGAAGCATTTATCTGCTATATATTATACGCCTACCTACTCCCTTTCACGCCCCCAAACTACTTTTCCCTCTAAACATGACCTTAAATTACCCAATCTAAATAATCACTAATTATATCACTTTTGTCACTAAAGAAATGAATTGAGGGACAATTACTACGCTAGAGAAATACTTGAGATTTACCCCTTTTCGTGCCCTTGAATTACAATTTTTCTTCTCTTAAAATTGTTAAAAAACCTAATCTTAAATTTACAACAACAACCCTATATATCATATAAATATATGTTTTGTATTACAGGAATTTGATATCTTTATCAAAAAATGTTAACACATTTTTGCTTTTTTTAAAAAGTTAATCATTATCAGAAAATCGTTTAAAAAATAATTCTTCTATCTAAAGAAGAATCTTGCAACCGTTTTTCACGCCTATAACAGATTTGAGTGTCTTTAAAAAAATAAAATTGTTAATCTCATAAATATACATATCTCTTTACTTTTTGCAAAGTAAAAACAAAAATATATTTTCGTTTTTTTTATCTCTATTTTTCAAAATTAATTTTTCAAGTGTGTAAAATGATTGGGTTTTGATATTCATGGGTATACTTATCTAAATGTACCCAAGATTTGTTAACGCCATTGATTTTCTTAATTGGTAAACATATGTTTATTTGTAAAAAGAGAATTTAACATCTCTTTTTTCACAAATGTAATACCATAGGATTTAAATATATTTTCATCCACGTGAAAATGTACACATCTTATTTCCTCCCTCCGACATTCATTTACCCAAGAAAATTATACAATTTATTAAATTCATTCCTTTATTTTGAGATGTATCTTGTGCTGCCTGGAGCAACAAGAACATACAGATAGGCCATATTTGTTAAAAGAGAATGTAACATGTCCTTTTTCACAAATGAAATACCATAAGATTTAAATATATTGTCATCTACGTGAAAATGTACACATCCTATTTTCTACCTCCGATATGTATGTACCCAAGAAATTGAATTATTTATCAAATTCATTCCTTTATTATGAGACTATCTTGTGCTGCCTTGGACAAAATGATCATACCCATTTTTGTAAAAAGAGAATGTAGTATCTCCTATTTCACAAATGTAATACCGGTTTACACAGGATTTAAATATATTGTAATCCATGTAAAAATGTACACATCCTACATCCTAACTCCCATATGAATGGACCCAAGAAGGTTAATTATTTATCACATTCATTCCTTTATTTTGAGACGTATCTTGTGCTGCCTGAGACAAAGTGACCAACCCCTCCCCCACCCAGATTTAAATAAATTTTGAAAATCTTCCACCGGATTGTAGTCCCTTCCATACCCAAACTAACATATTTTGAACTTCATATGGTTTGTTCTTATTTGTATGAGTTGTAAGTGGTTTAGTGAACGATATTTGCCTATGGAGTTGCGCTGCAGTGATTGACTTAAACCGCATTTTCTTATTAGAATTATATTTAAAGGCTTATTTTTTTATTGCGTTAAAAATTTAATAAAAGTATATTTTTGGAATAAAAAAAAAGGCAAAACTTTTAAATGTAAAAATATACAAAGTAAAAATGTGTGTGTGTTTTATTAACAATTTAAAAAGCAATCAATTGTATTTATTAATTTTACTTTTAAGAAGGGAAAATACATTATCAGTTTTGTCACGAGCGGTTAGTAAATTTAAAGAAACCTCAGAGTTTTGGCGAAATAGGCTGATTCCGCTATGACTTCATTGATTATTTAGAACAAATGCATTTTAATTTTATTTCGCAATATTAGCAATGCACTAAAAAGCGCACTAAAAACGAGTGATGCTTGGGTTTTCCCGATAAATGTGAATACGGTGTAATTCTCTGATCATGACTTTTATATATTTTTTTATAACTTTCAAACACATATGCTTAAAATGCTTAGAATAGTTCCTTAGTTGATACTTTAAATGTATTTGTAATTTATAATAATAATACTAAAACTTTTACTGAAATAAAAGCGGATTTAAAATATTTTTTGCGCATTTAAATTTATTAGATTTCCGTAAAATAATAGAAAATAACTATGATTGTTTTTAGGAATCCGAACGTACTTATATTGTTTCTCTCTTTTAGCGTTATGTCACTCTAGCTCATTCTTATATATATTATAGTATATTCCTAGACCCAACAATTTATTATAATATTTATAATAGGCCCTAAATTTGATGCAAGTATATTTTAGGCTATGTAATTATATTTGAATGAGTATTATGATCATTAAGGCATAAACTAAGTAATATTTTAAAAAATATTCATTTACCTTTGGTTTTGAAATATCCTATATTTAATCACATTTCACAATATACAACAAAAGAATTATTAAATAATCCTCAGTACTCTCAAAGAAAAAACACACACTTTCAGGCACAATAATCCAAAAATTAATTAAGATATTACTAAAGAACAATCATACAAACTTGTACTTACCTCAAGCAAATGACTAGAACTTATTTTATTTCTATCAACCACCAAAGTTGATTTTAACGATGCATTTGATTGTTGAAACAAGATTACTAACTTAAAATAAATGACATACTAATTCTTTTTGCCATACTCAGACATTCATATGATATGGGACTAAAATATATATATAGAAAATGGTAAAATGAAAAGTGTAATACTCCATTTTTAACTAATTGAAACAAATAATCCCTTATTTATTATTTATTTCTTTATACTTATAAATGTTAAACAATTCCATTTAAAATTTGAGATTTTTACCCGAAGAATATCATTATAATTATTAATTTGGAGAAATTTAAAAAAAAAAAAAAATTTAAATAATTTACAATTCATCATATTTTATATATTTTTAATAGTAAAATAAAAATTTTTTTTTTTTTAATTTTTCTTAATTTTAACAAAAAAAAAACATTTTTAAATAATTGAAAAAAATAATCCCTTATTTATTATTTATTTCTTTATACTTATAAATGTTAAAAAATTCCATTTAAAATTTGAGATTTTTACCCGAAAAATATCATTATAATTATTAATTTGGAGAAATTTAAAAAAAAAAAAAAATGTAAACAAGTGACGAGTCAGCATATCTTATATACTTTTAATAGGAAAATAAAGATTTTTTTTTTTTTAAATTTGCGTAATTTTAACAAAAAATAACTTATATTTTGTGAATTTATTTAATAGTACTCTTATTTAACCATATTCCCTGTAACTATTATATTTGTGTCTCATTTTAGAATAAAGTATAGTCGTTTTAAAAAGGGCAAAATGAGGGGCACAAAATGTGGAGGAAAACTCCATGGTCCATAGTGAAAGTGTGGTTTTGAGGTCCTTACTAAAAAAATTATAACTTTTGAACCACTTGAGCTAGAAAGTCGATCTTGGTGGGTTTTTTTTAAAATCTATTCTCCAGGCTCTATACAGCTGTAGTATTTTTATATTTTAAAAAATGTTTTGAAATTTTCATGAAAGTGCCCAATTAGGCCCTTTATATAATTAAAATATATTTTAAGAAAAAGACAGTGTCTACACAACCGGCGACTGGATAAATAGTGAGAGAAATATTCTTCTGGCAGGCATGACACTTGACCGCCAGACGACTAGTATGTGTTATTCTGGCAGATAGTCATGTGACAAGAGGTTGCCGACAAAATGAAAAAAAAAAGTCTGTTATCTTGGTTTAAATATCTTATAAAGCTCTACCTAGTAGCCTAAATTTAAATATAAATCAAAGTAAATAAGACCAATACATGCCAGTTGACTGTCAATAAATCTACTGTCACAAATTTTTTATTTTACGCTATTAATATTGCGTGAGACGCAGGCTTCCCCAACAGCACACTATTTTGGCAATATTGGCCCTATATTAAGATGTAGGGTCTACTATCGACCTCCCCACCTTAATTATTTAGGCAGTGTCTACACGTCCGTCACGCTGGACGTATATCACCTCACCATTTGTCCGGCGACCAAGTCACATGACCGCCAGAAGAATACTTTATCGAGATATTCGTCCAGCGACCAAGTCACGTGACCGCTGTAACAAAGTAATCGTGAGGGTGATAAATAATTAAGTTTAAGGTGGGGTTTAAGTCACATGATGACCGTAAAAAAGTAATTGTGAGGGTGATAAATAATTAAGTTTAAGGCGAGGAGGCCGATAGTTCCAAAAAAAAATAAGCCCTACATCTTAATATAGGTCTGATATAGTAGTGGTGGCCTAGCCTTCTTCTCATGCAATAATAAATACTAATCCTGAAATACAACTTTATTGACATAGGTCTATTGAAGTCTACTGGTCTTATTTTATTTGGTTCCTATTTAAAATTTAGGTTTCAAGGTAGAGCTTTACAAGATATTTAACCAACATATGGGACTTTTTTTCTTTGAAGAGTCGGAATCAAATAGACTAGTAATAGTAGTAGTAATAGTAGACCTACTACTAGTTAGTATATAGGCCGACTAGTTTAATATTCAAAGGCAAACACTTTATGTATCTCAGAGCATTTGATTATATTAGCATGTTCAGCATTTATTTATTATCTAGGGATCAGCTGAATAATATATGTACACAATATTGAAATATCAATTGTCAAATGCAATGCAACTATTTTGCCGGCGACCACTTGTCACATGACCTGCCGCAATAATAACGTCTACTAGTCATCCAGCGGTCACGTGACATGCCCGCCGGATGTATATCTCCCGCACTATTTGTCCGGCGCGCCGGACGTGTAGACACTTCGAATTATTTATCACCCTCACTATCATTTTTATTCTTTGTCTCTCACTCTCAGTATCTCTTTCTACTAGTATGCATTGCTTCCTCTCTCCCCTCACTTATTTCTTGAAATGAAGTTGATACTCGTCTCCCCCCCCCCCCCCCCCCCCCCCCACATACATCTCCAACGCCAGTTTTAGGACTATTATCGGTCACGTGACAAGGCTCACGGTGAGATATCTGGCCCAACTTTGTTATGGTGGTCAGGTGACCTGGTCAATGGATGAATATCTCGAGAATTATTCGTCTGGTCGCAGGACATGTAGACACTTCGTAAGAAAAAATGTCAGCTAACAATAATTAAGAAGTAATTTAATATCTTTGATTAGTATTTCATAATGCAACGGCACAAAATGACAATAACAGAACTTGGTCACAAAATGTGAATGTGCAGTGCATGCCATGAGAAATGAAAAAATCAACTCTTTCACTCACATTTGTCATTTCCAGTTTCCAAAAATCACCTTAGCCTATTGACGGCTTTGTAAAGTAACATTACTGGTACACTTACCACACTACTGACTACTACTACTACTTCACTACACTTGCACTCTGGCCTAGGTAGTAAATAATTAGCTAGTTATACAATTGGCGTTTTTTTTTCTTTGAAACTTCCTAATATCTTTCATTAAATTATGATAGTCCACGAGTATGAATTAATTGACAGAACTTACCGTCTTGACATATTTAATTTAGGAATATTTCGATTCTCGAGCGTCAGAAATAAAATTTGCTGCAAGAAACCGGATGAGCTTCGTCAAGTGATTCACGTCGTATGTGGTACGCATTGTCTATTTTAATTTAGCTACAAATAATTATGGTCTATTAACGATGGCGAATTAACGGAGACATGGTCAGTGTTGAGAATTGGAATACAACAATTACTAATGCAGCTGGGATCAATAAAAAATATCAAATGGTTGATTATTTTAAATTGGTCTGCGAATGGGTTTTTTTTTTTCCTCCAGTACGTTATTTATATAGCGAATACTCTTTAAAAAAAGGCCTGCACAGCAGCACAACATACGGCCCGCGGGTCGCATGTGGCCCACCAACACCCACTTTGCGGCCCGCGAAGTAACGAAATATTCTTCATTCTTATTATTTTCTTAATAGCTCCCCCCCCCCACTGTCCTATTTTCTTTTGGTCCGCACAAGTTTTTCATAAAATATTACGGCCTGCTTTACATTTTGAGTTGATTATCCTTGCCTTAAATATACGGTTCATCAAATATATCGAGCCTATTGATATTTTAGAGATTCCACTAATTGTAATCGGTTAATAGCACCAGTTACTATGCTTCTTAGACCTGTGAAAAAAAAATGACAATTTAGTCATTTTTAATACAAAATATAATTTCGTTATATTGTTTGACACATTTTGCAGGAAGCGGGGAATTTGACTTTCCTGAGGAAGGGGGGGGGGGGATAAAAAAAAAAAAAAAAAACAAAAACAATTAATAATAATAGTGGCAAGATTAATTTTTTACAATGTTTTAAAAAAAAAAAAAAGAAAAAAAAAGACATTGTTTTGCTTATGTAGAATTGCTTGCTCCTCCATAGATGTCAAACTTTTGGAAAAAAAAATAATAAAAAAGCAGTGTGCATCTAAAATAATAAATCAAACAAAACCCAATTAAGGGTGCATGATTAATTTACTTTAACTTGAACCATGCTTAGCTGACATAAAACAACAGAACAACTAGTGTGTATATTAAAACCCTGCTCATGTAAAACCAAATATACTTTGACTCACATTATTTTTTTTCTTTTTAAAAGTTACTACTAACACAGCTAATGCCGAATTAAAGAAACAGGTGACAAGTACAGCCCAATTGTCACAACAAAAAAAAAATAATAAATTTTCTAATTTTTAATATATCCTTCCACCATGGCCCCAATTTAGTTTCTATTGTCATTCGAAAAATTTGGACAATCATTTGGGATTAAAAAACAACAACGCAATAAGAATGCAAATGAGTGTCATCAAACTAAATGAAGCTCTTTATCAAACAATATTTTAATATTGCTATGGTACCACAATATTTTCATTTTATGAAAAAGGTTTTCAAAATAGAAATAAAAATTCATTTCTTTACAAAAAATGTTTTTGTTTAATGTGGAAAATGACCAAGTTATTGAATGAGAAAAAAAAAAAAAAAATAATCATTGCAAATAATAAATTTACCCCCCCCCCCCCCCCACCCGGTCACAAATTCTTTACCCACCTTTTAGAGTCACGCCACACCTAAAAAAAATCAAAACATATATACAATTTTCATAACTAAACTAAGATTTATTTTATTCTTTAACATTTTCCCATAATGAATTAAGATGTAGTATTACTAGAAAACTGTGACGCAAAACAACGGGGTGATCCACAAGCCGAATGTAAATTGGCCACAGCAATTGACTGAGTTTCACTGTACCTATAATATATGAGGAAATTTCGCCCTCAAATTAATGTTTTTACAATTTAGTGAATAAAGATTTTTCAAAATTATAATATTTTAGATTAACAACAAAAAATAAATTTAAAACATAATAATATAAAAAAAATAATATTTAAAAAATCATGACGTCACACATTTTTTACCTCTCCCCCCTGTCCCATAGTGTCACAAATTCTCGATCCCCCCCCCCCCTGAGCGTGACGTACATAGGTCCCCAAATTCCCGCTCCCCCCCCCCCCCTGAGCGTGACGTAATTTGAAAACGACCTCTAAAAAAACCAAAAAAAAAACATGAGTTGATAAAGATGTATAAATCAACAATCGTTTTCACGAGTCATAGAATTTTTAATACATTGTTGCCAAATAAAAATTTAAGTGCATTTTAAGTTATTAATTTTACTGTAGGCAACACAACTAGGTTGATACTTTACATTTAACTCTCAAAACTTAAGCATTCGAGAATACAGACAAAAAATCACTTTTACTACCTTCTTCTTCCCGTATGGACCGGGGTCTCTTGGCATTGAAGATCGCTACCAGGATTTTATCTGGAAACGCAATTTTAGTAACTGTGTATATTATTTTGCATTTCCCACAAAGTAGGTCTACCTACCCATTCGCAAGCAGTCAGTTCGATTTTTGTCGAAAGAATCCAGTATAAAGAGAAAAGTGTTCCCCCCCCCCCCCCCAGGGAGGACCTTCCCCCCCCCCCCCCACTTAGACCTGTGAAAAAAAAATGACAATTTAGTCATTTTTAATACAAAATATAATTTCGTTATATTGTTTGACACATTTTGCAGGAAGCGGGGAATTTGACTTTCCTGAGGAAGGGGGGGGGGGACGGGGAGGGGCAGTGCCCTCCCGGTGAGATGGCTGAAAGAAACATCGATGTCTCGCGGGTGAGGCCAATAACCTTTTCGATGGCCTTTCAAGTGTAAATAGAAAGTGTGCTTTCCAGAAGTTCACCAAAGTCCTGGTAAAGAAAAAAACATCACAAAAAGTTCGTGACTTTGTGAAGTTTTATTGAATTATCGCATGTAAATTGAACATGTGATCATCTGACTTACATAAAGTTGAACACATTCTAAAAGTGATTAGGATCGACAAACAAGATGAGGGGAAGGGAAGATGGGGTAGGAGAGCAGAGATCGAGGACGATGAAGGCTCCCGAGCGAAAGGAGGAAAGACTTCCGTCGTGCATAGGGGCGGGGGCTTTGTCGTTCTGTGTCTCCGTGGTTTTTCAAGGGTTATTTCTAGTACAATAATAATACCTTATCGGGCCTCTCGTTTCCTCAGTGGAACTATTTGCTTCGAGGAACCACGATTATATATATGTAAATGTAAATAATACATATTATATTTGTATTCAAGGGGTCGTTCGCAAATTACGTCACGCAAAAAAATTACCTTTTAGCCCCCCCCCCCCCCCCCCCCCCCCC